ACCCCGTATCCCCCCACAGGGTGGTCCCGCCCCCGCCCCCAGCCCGGCTCCGGACAGTGACCGCGGGCAGCAAATCGAGCGGCGCTTGACCGAGTTCCAGACGGCGCTGCAGGTACCGGGACCACCCCCCCGCCGGTCCCGAGACCCCCGGGGGCTGCCCGGACCCCCCGGGACCCCCCTGACCCCTCCCGGTGCCCGCAGGAGGCCGAACGCGCATTCCGGCACCTGGAGGATCTGCAGGACGCCTTCGACTTCTGCTACAAAGTGCACTACCATGCAGGTGAGGGGCGGGCTGTCCCCAAAACTGTCACCGCGGTGCCATCCCGGTGTCCCCAGCACGATCACCCAGGTGTCCCCAACACTGCCATCCCGGTGCCAGCCCGGTGTCCCCAGCCTTGCCATCTGCAGTGTCCCAAACACTGCCATCCCGGTGCCACCCCGTTGTCCCCAACCCTGCCACCCTCCTGTGTCCTCCACCCTGCTATCCCGGTGTCCCCAACACTGCCATCCTGATGCCACACCGGTGTCCCCAGCCTTGCCATCCGCAGTGTCCCCAGCCTGGCCACCGCGGTGCCATCCCGGTGTCCCCAACACTGCCATCCCGGTGCCATCCCGGTGTCCCCAACCCCGCCATCCCAGTGTTCCCAGTCCCGCCATCCTGGTGCCACCCCGCTGTCCCCAACTCTGCCACCACGGTGCCAACCCCGGTGTCACCAACCCTGCCATCCCGGTGTCTCCAACACTGCCACCGCGGTGCCATCCCGGTGTCCCCAAAACTGCCACCCTGGTGCCACCCCGGTGTCCCAAACCCTGTCATCCCAGTGTTTCTAGTCCTGCCATGCCAGTGCCACCCCGGTGTCCCCAACACTGTCACCCTGGTGTCCCCAACCCTGTCACCCCCTGTGTCCCCCCCTGCCCCCTGACCCCGTTCCCGTCCCAGGCGAGGATCGAACCCGTGACCCTCAGCACGCGCGGCAGCTCCAAGCGCTCCAATCCAAACTGCAGAGCCTGGACCGGCAGCGGCGGGTGAGGAGGGGGGAGGGGAGACCCCAAATTGGGGAGGGGAGACCCCCAAATCGGGGGGGAGACCCCAAATCGGGGAGAGGGGAACCGCAAACCAGGGAGGAGACCCCAAATCAGGGAGGGGAGGTCCCAAATCAGGGAGGGGAGAGACCCCAAATCAGGGGGGGAGACCCCCAAATTGGGGAGAGGAGAGACCCAAATCGGGGACAGGAGATCCCCAAACTGGGGAGGGGAGACCCCAAATCAGGGGGGAACACCCAAAGCAGGGAGGAGAACTGCAAATCCAGGAAAGGGGATCCCCAAATTTGGGAGGGGAGGCCCCAAATCAGGGAGAGGAGAGACCCCAAATCGGGGGGAGACCCCAAAATTTGGGAGGAGAGACCCCCAAATTGGGGAGAGGGGAACCGCAAACCAGGGTGAGGAGACCCCAAATCAGAGAGAGATCCCCAAATTGGGGAGGGGAGGTCCCAAATCAGGGAGGGGAGACCCCAAACCACAGACGGGAACCCCCAAATTGGGGAGGGGAGAGACCTCAAATCAGGGAGGGGAGACCCCAAAGCAGAGAGGAGAACCCCAAATCCAGGAGAGGAACGCCCAAATCAGAGAGGGGAGGTCCCAAATCAGGGAGAGGAGAGACCCCAAATCAGGAGGGGGAGACCCCCAAAATGGGGAGGGGACACCCAAATCAGGGAGGGGAGGCCCCAAATCAGAGACGGGAACCCCCAAATGGGGCAGGGGAGACCCCAAATTGGGGAGAGGGGAACCGCAAACCAGGGAGGAGACCCCAAATCAGGGAGGGGAGGCCCCAAATCAAGGAGAGGAAGCCCCAAATCAGAGAGGGGAGGTCCCAAATCAGGGAGGGGAGACCCCAAACCAGAGACGGGAACCCCCAAACTGGGGAGGGGAGGCCCCAAATCAGGGAGAGGAGAGACCCCAAATCAGGGGGGGAAGACCCCCAAACTGGGGAGGAGACACCCAAATCAGGGAGGGGAAGACCCCAAACCATGGGAGGAGACCCCAAAGTAGAGACGGGAACTCCCAAATTGGGGAGGGGAGACCCCAAATCGGGGAGAGGGGAAACTCCAAAGCAGGGAGAAGACCCGGGCAGAGTCGCGACCCCCCAATTTCCCCTCTGACCCCCCAATTTCTCCCCTGAACCCCCCAATTTCCCCCCTGAACCCCCCGATTTTTCCCCGCAGGAGGTTCTGGCGCAGCTGCAGCAGCTTTTGGGGCGCAGCGAGACCCTCGGGGAGCTGCTGCAGGAGGAGTTGGGGC